AAAAAAAAAAAAAAAAAAAAAAAAAAAAAAAAAAAAAATCTGCTTCAGCCACAATACACACACATTGATTGGAAGGAGAAAACAAAACACTAGAAACAAAGAAAAAAGAATACAATTTTGTAAGCTGGGCATGGTGGTGCATGCCTCAGGAGGCTGAGGCAGGAAGATCGCTTTGAGTTTGAGACCAGCCTGGGCTACATAGTGAGTTCCAGGTCAGTCTCAACTACACAGTGAGACCCTGTCTCAAAAAAACCAAAAAACAAAACAAAAAACAAACAAACACAATTTTGTTTACTTACGTATTATGTAACTGAAAATTTAGACATTTTCTTCTTGAATATTTCAAGTGTGACTAACAGTTGTACATGGTCCATGAATGCTTTGAAAGAGGAAGGGGAGGAGGTGGTTTGTTGGTAGCTGGGTTGGACCTAAGTTAGTTTTATATTAAAACACTCTGAATAATATTAAAGTTCAGCTCCTATCTCATCCAAAAAAGAATACTTACTACTAAAACATTTACCCTAGGAACTTACAACCTGAAAACTAAATTTGTGCTGTGAAGAGATGACCAAATCCAGAAGCTGGATGACTGATTTGTGTTGCAGGAATTACTTCTAAGACTCTAAAGAAAAAGTTAATCAAAACAGAACAAAACAAAAACTCAGAACATTATTAAGGTTTTACCTGGTTATACTGATCTTCTGAGAAGTCAATAGGTTCATCTTCAAGCATTTTACTACTTTCAGCTGACTCATCATTATAGTTTATTCTGATATTGCTTAAGCCATCTGTATCAATAAGAAACTTTATATAATAAAAATGTCATGCCTTTAAATATAGGATATAGTACTGAAATTTATGTTAGCAATCACTGACAGTTAACACTACAAAATCTAGCATGTAATTCCACAAATACAAGTAAGTTATTTTAAATAAAAACCTAGGTTGACATATAAATTATAGAATTATTTCAACTAAGGCCCTGAAGTCCATTAAACTAGGTTATCAAGTTATAGGATTAAATATATGTAAACTTAACTATATATGTAAGCAGGTAAGTATTTGCAAGTATGGCAGGTATCTTTAAGTCATAATAAAAGCTATGATAGTCTGAAAATAACAAATGCTCAGTACCACCCAGTAAATTGTAGAACATGAAATAAGGCACCCCCCTACCACACCAGGGATCAAACTCAAGACCTTGCACTTGCCAGGCAGGTGCAACACAACTGAGCTACATCCCTGACAAGGTACAACTTTAAAACTGTGAAACTATGAACAATTATAAAGGGTGAAAAGGATTAAAAATAATAAAATAACTTTGCTTTTAGATAATTAAAAATACAAAAGTGATAAATCTTATTAGTATCTTATATCATCATATATTACATGATTAACATCTGCATAATCACTGATTGGTATTTACAGTTGAATCTCCCTAACTCTTGTGTATTTTTCCTTCATGCCTCGTTATATTCATACTTTTCAATTATAAAAACCCACACAAGCCAACTGTAGTTGCTGGTAGTACAAAAGTAAATAACTCATGGGAAAATGTTGAAATGCATACTTTTTTGGGGGGGGTACTGGGGATTGAACTCTAGTCCTTCCACTTAGCAGCACCACTAAGCTAAATCCCTAGCCCCTATAATGCACGCTTTTAGAGGACTATTCCAAGACTCTAAATGGTTAAAAATAAATTATTTTGCTGAAGAAGCTTATTATATATAATGTTTCAAATAAATGGAAGATTTACAAGGCAATGAAATATCAAATATATCAATTCTAATAAAGAGCTTACCATTTCAAAATGTTAAAATGTATATACCTTTTAGGTGTTTTACATAAATTTACTTTGATATTACTTATTAAGTTATGAGGGACTAAGAAAATCAGTATAAAGGAGATGGGATGAGAAGAAAAGCACACCCCTGAAAAAGATTCATATAAATCCAAATACTGCAATTAGAAACATACTATTTAAAATAACTAATCAAGGGCTGAGGATTTAGCTCAGCGGTTCTGCTGCTTGCCTCCCAAGCTCACAGACCTAAGTTCGATCCCCAGTACAAAATAACAACAAAAACTAATCAAGCATGTTAAATCCTTTAATACAAGTATCTTCTTCAATTAATAAAAATCTTCATGTTTTTTAAAGTTAAAGCATCTATATTTGAATAAAATCTATCTAAATTCTCAATTAAGAATTAATCAATTACAATGAGGCTATTTGTAGCAGTAAATCATTCCTATCCACAAAAAGTGGTAGCATCAGTAACTGTTTACCTTGTACCAACTAAACTATTTGTACATTTTAAAAACAAGAGAACAACAATTTAAAGGACATTGCTCCCCCACCCATTATTTCCCTGAATAAACAAATGACCGGAAGTAGAGAGGTGACAACTCAATCCTTTGTTCTTTCAGTGTCAGTTTCTCATGTAGTGTGACCCTCTGAAGATGCTATGATTCTTAAGTTTAAAAAGACACATGTTCCACACATCCAAGCAAGTCAATAATTTCCTATGGTGCCCAACACGAAAGAAAGCAAGTGAGAATAGTGATGCCATGTTATTTTCCTACAGTTGACCTTCAAAACCTATCTCAGGGATAAGATACCACCCTGCACTTATTTACTATATATCGGTGGTGGCAAAACTATGGTACGTGTGTTGTTTTTCTTTCAAGACAAAGATCTTAATGTAGGGAAGTTTTTAAAAATTAAAACCTCAGGGGGCTGAGATTTAGCGCCGTGGTTTCGGCATCTGCCTGGCAAGTGCAAAGACCTGAGTTCAATCCCCGGTACCACAAAAACCAAAAATTAAAACCTCAGTGTTTAATTGCAGTTTTGGCACTTTGTGATAAATAAGTGGGTTGCAATTTGGGCACTTGTCTCTAAAATGTTCACCATCACTGCTGTATAGCATGTTATCTGAAACTAGTCGTCAATGTCTATTAACTATGTGTTTGTTAGTTAAAATTATGTTAAAGCTATTTAAAATACACTTAAATCCTGTAGATAACTGGATCAAACAAGCTAATTTCAGGTTATTAATCATGTCACAAAAATTATTACAAATTCTCATCCTAACATTTAACATGCCATCCTCACATACAGGAAAGGCTGTCTCGCTATCCTCTCAGGAGGTAAAGGCACATCTAGAGAGCACTCAGTCAAGGCACTTTTGGGCCAATGATCCCTTGGAAACATTTAGTAAAGGAGGCTCACTGAAAAACACGCAGACCCACTTTGGAGTACAGCGATGATATCATCACTGGAAGAACAGAAAAGTATCCATAGAACTCCATATATAAAAATGGTGTTTTATAAAACATGTTTCAGGAAGACATAATTGACATGGTTAAACACATGCTGTTATGGCTTGTATCTAGATGTCTCTCTTAAGTCTCAGTTCTTGTACACTGGTGGGGCTTCTCAGAGATGGCTGGATCTAGGTGAGTGAATACGTATTACAGGTGTGATAATTAAAGTAGTCCAGAGTGGCTTATCATAGCTCTGGATGTGGATATTGGGAAGATCCACCTGGGGTGTGGGTGGCACTACCCAAAAGACTTTTCAGCCTGCATGGGATAAAAGGAATGGGAGGCCTGCTTGCTGCCTTCTGCCTGCCATGCCATGACGTACCATGCCACCCTGCTTTGGAACCAACTGAGTACAGGCTGAAACCTCTACAAACTGAGCTAAAATAAACCCTTCCTCCTTTAACTTGTGACTATTGGGTGTTTTGTTCCAGTAATGACAAAGTAATCAAGATACATACTAAAACCAAAAATGCACAAACTGTAATAAAAAGATTAATAAATGAGATAAACATATTAGTAAGACAAACTGCATATAAAGCAAGTTACTTTTTACTCTAGTCTCCACTAGTTTTGAGGCTATTTCCTAAAATTTAATAAGCTATTTACTCAACCAGAACAATAATTTGTGTAAGATGGTACTAGTTATGTCTATAGAGTTTCTGTATAGAAAGCCTGAAGCTTTGTTCCATTACTTTAAGTCACACTTTATTTCTTATCTGAATTCACATTAAAGGGTATAAAAATATTGATCAAAAGAAGCCTTTTTGGGAGGATGCTGAGATACAATTCACATGACATTTATTCACTCAGTGTACAACCGCTGGGCTGAGTATATCAGCCCTCTGTATCAGAGTTGTGTCTACAGATTCAAAAACTATGTATCGAGAATTTGAAAAAATTTGTGTCTGTACTAAATGTATACACTTCCTCTTGTTATTAATTACTCCATAAATAATATAGTATAACAGAAATTCATATAGAATTTACATTGTATCAGGTAATACAAATAAACCACAGATGCTTTAGTCTATGGGAGGATGTGCATAGCTTATATACAAATATTATACCATTTTTTTATACAGGCCTTGAGCATGTATGGATTTTGGTATTCCTGAGGGGAGAAGAGGATCTGAAACCAATCCTTTAAGGGTAAATGTATATTCACATGTATTTACAACTACCATCACAACCACTTTTTTTTTTCAAAGCTGACAATGGAACCAAGAGCCTCACACATGCTAGGCAAGTGCTTACCACTGAGGTATATCCTTAACTCTGCCCCTACAATCATTTTTAAAACTTCAAAAAGAATAAATTTCATACCCTTTGTTTCTCCCCACATTCCCATAACCTCCTTTCTTTACCCCTCAAAAGACCTAAGCAGTCACCAATCTACTTTATAGATTTTATTGTTCTGGAGATTTTATACAAATCAGTATTTTCCTACTCAAGTATTAAAAATTACAGGCAAATATTTGGTTGATTACCTACTTTGTATGTTGTATTCTATTTCCTACCTAATGAAATAGAATGGAAAATGAGCCAGAAAAGTATTTATCTATGTGGCTTTGATGAACTTTTTCTGCTGTATCTGCTAACACTTTACTACCTCACATCTCTCTAAAGATCACCACTCGAGGGCTAATTATACCCTCATGCAACTTAGTATGGCTAACAAATCAAAACACTATTACAAGAGCACAACAGCTTCCTGACCCAGTAAAATCATATAAACCGGGAGTAGTATCAAGGGTGTGGTTCAGTATTCATAATTTTCAATAGGTTCTTTCTGAATCCACATCATTTTCTCTATGGTTTACACTAACTCTTCTCATCCAAAGAAAATATATTAAATCTATTCACAGCTTATTAAGTTTGCATAAGCCACACACTACAGCATGATATAGTTTTTAAAGGTAGACAAAAAAATGTTTTTTTCCCTCATTGAGTTTATTGGTACATTTTAGGTATACAGTATAATTTCATTCATTATTGGGATCTTGTACCTTTACATGACAGGTCTTGGTTGGACAAAATATTTTTTAACTGACATACAATACTTGTACCTATTTTTTGGACTGAGAATGTAGATCATTGGTAGATCATTATCTAACATGGCTCTGGGCTTAATCCCCAGCACTGCAAAACAACCCCCATGTTTGGTACATGACACATTATGTAATGTTCAAATCAGGGTATGGAGTAAACTATTTTATCTGTGGTTTGGAGAAAAAAATTTAAGAATTTGGGCTGGGGATTTAGCTCAGTGGTTCCACTGCCTGCCTTGCAGGTGGGCAAGGTCCTGAGTTCAAACCAGGTAACCCCCCGCAAAAAAAACCCAAAAACAAATAAAAAAATCAAGAATTTGAAGAGAAACTTATATTTCTGTAACAGTAGCTAAAAATAGAACCCGATTCAAGGAAAACTATTTATTACAGATGAAGGAAAATTAAAAAAGAAATTAGAATGGTGTCCCTCATACTGAACAGTGAAGGACAGGGAAGAATAAGGATTCCAGCTTTAATCGTTTAAAGAAGGAAGGACTGACTTCTGCTTCTGGCCAGTTGTACTCACTTTACCAATATACATATAATTTTTTTTTTTTTTTTTTTTTTT